CCCAAATCATTAACTACAATGTCCTGAACGGATCCATAAGCAATGTTTAAGTCCTCTGCCAGCTCTCTGATAGTTAATTTGCGGTTATTGACCAACATTTCTCTCACTTTATTGATGTTTTCGTCGGTTTTCGATGTCGACGGCCTGCCACTGCGTTCGTTATCCTCGACGGATTCACGACCACTTCTGAAGCGTTCATGCCACTCGTAAACGGTTGTTTCTTTAGAACATCACTGCCAAAACAGTTTCCCAACATTTCCAAGGTTTTCGCACCATTGAATCCATTTTTAACGCAAAATTTAATACAAACTCGTTGTTGCAAATTCAACTCCATTTTTAAAACTGTAAAAAATCGAAAACACGCGCAGAGGTAGATGTACTCAAGACGACGTAATTTTTACAAATGTCAAGCTATGGCGATAAAATTTGATGGAAATGTCAATGATAGATGTGGCAACCTAGCCAAAAAAAAGAACTCAAATCAGCTGACTCAGAGCATCACCTGGTGGTCTCTTCCGGAAATTTTTTGATCAAGCTGGTATTAACCCTTACCATACTAGATATAATTTGGTGGCTCATCCCTACAAATATGGGTCACTAGAATCCGTCCATTTTTTCATCTATTCAGAATAATTAAAAAAATCACCAACTCTAAAAATTCACCAACATACTTTCAACTTTCTAGAATAAATATTGGCACTTCATTTTGGAAAATAATAAAATGTAGTATAATTTATAATTACCGAAAGACTCAAAGAAATTTGCACGAACAGGAATCGCTCGGTTACTAGTGGACCCACGTCAGTATGGTGAGGTTTCAAACTGATTGACATTAATCTGTTTCTATCATTAAATTAATGAATCTAACAATCAATCGTGTAATTATAAAAATAAAATTGTTATTGATTTGAAAATTATTCAAAGTTTCTATTGGCGGTGTGCAAAACCAAGTCCATAAGATTCTATTGTTTTTTAGCAAATTGAAAAACATATCCGAACGTATATAAAATATACTAATGAAATTTTAGATCCATCTGATTTTCCAAAATAGAAATACTTATTGGAATTTAACATGAGTTCATTATACAAAATAGATTCTCAATCCATAATTTAATCATTGAGTTTCCATCAGTATTGAGAGTATGCTTTAATTTTGAAAGTTTTACAAGAGATGGCACTGATGTTGTTAGAGACATTTCAATTGCTATTGTTTCTTGATGCTTTACTATTACTCTATAATATTTAGTCATTTACTAGCAATAGACGCAGTAAACATTGTGTCAATACCATCCTAAGTAGAACAACAACGTTTATGATTAAAATGTTTAGGAAATGGTTATTTTTGTTTTAAAGCCATTTAAGATTGTTTTAAAAACGTTTTTTTAGGAACCGGTTAACTAACTGTTGTACAAACATTAAAAAATTGTTTTTTTAAGGTAAAATATAAATGAAAAGAATAAGTGAGTAGTGAAAGATCATTGGAATTATATATCATTTGAAATGAAGACATGAATTTGTCAAGTTATAATACTTGGCTGTGTAGTAGATTATAGCACACACTCATTTCCGGCTTTGTCTCATTCGCGCTCTGTTTCTTCTAGCTCTTACTTGAAATACTCTATGGCCTCTATTTCATTTGTGCGTTTTTGTCGTATGATAAATGTGTGCAGAACAGAGAGATCCTCGGATCTCTCTATCCTATAGCCAATCAACAAGCTTGAAAAATTTGTCTTTTGACAAAAACACATAAATAAAACAGCAATCTTTTAGTATACTCTGTATTTGCAATTACGAGCTCTAATTATAATATTCATCTTTTTGAGAGAGACCAATCAGCGCTTTACTAATCCCTCTTCAATAGCTATTGACATGAAAATTTCCAGTCATGTTTAAGTAATTTTCTGGTCATATTTACATGTAACTTTCATGTAAAATTACGTGCATTTTTTTCAGTGAATGATTGTCCAGG